CATACCCTTTGCCACGTATCGATGATCTGCTTGATGCTGCAGGTGGTTGCAAAGTCTTCAGCAAGATCGATCTCAAGTCTGGCTACCACCAGATTGAGGTCGAACCTGCAGACCAGCACAAAACTGCATTCAAAACTCGCGATGGGCTGTACGATTTTACAGTTATGCCCTTCGGTCTCACGAATGCACCAGCCACCTTTCAAAGTCTCATGGACAAAGTGTTTCGCAATCAGATCAACCGATTTGTTGTTGTATATCTGGATGACATTCTTATCTTCAGCGAATCAATGGAGGAGCACATGAGACACCTTGAGGAAGTGATGCAGATCCTCAAGGACACGCAGCTCCATCTCAACTTGGAGAAATCTGAGTTTGGGAGGGACAGCGTCATCTACCTTGGACATCGGTTGTCTGCTGCAGGCCTAGAGCCCGAGGCAACCAAGGTTGAGGTCATCCAAAAGTGGCCCCAACCTGCGAATGTCCGCGAGTTGCGTTCTTTTCTTGATCTTGCGTCGTACTACCGTAAGTTTGTGCCTAAATTTTCTATCATTGCCCGTCCATTGTCTAGACTAACAAGCACGAATGTGTCCTACGCATGGAATGAAGAATGCACGACAACCTTTGAAGCATTGAAAGAGGCTTTGGTAAGTCATCCAGTGCTCCGCATTGCAGATCCCAAGCTTACATTCGTAGTAACTACGGATGTGAGTTTGTATGGGATTGGTGCAGTGCTGCAGCAAGATGATGGCGATGGTTTACGTCCGCTGGAATACTACACAGCAAACGCATGCCCAGCCACAAGGTAGCTGCCTCCACTTACATGAGAGAGCTCTATGCCTTGAGAGAGGCACTAGACCATTGGAAACACTACCTCTTGGGTCGCCATTTCAAAGTGTTCTCGGATCATTAGACTTTGAAGTGGATTCAGACACAGATAAACCCATCAACTACGCTGACCCACTGGCTGCATGAGATTGATGTGTATGATTTCGAACTAAAACACAAAGGCTGCTATAATCGTGTTGCGGATGCTTTGTCTCGCCACCCTGAGTACATGACTTGCCTAGTGGGTTCCTACGATCTTCGCAAGGACTTACAGAAGGAACTCATTGAGCACACTGCCAAGGATCCGGAACTCAGTCCCATCCTTGAGCAGATTCGGGCTGACCCTAGTAGTCAGCCTAATTTCCATGAATGTAAGGGCCTTCTCTTCCAACGCTATGGTAAGCATGACCGGTTGTGTGTACCCAACCATGAGCCAATCATCACTCACTTCTTGGATTTGGCCCATGGCCGGAGTGGACACTTCGATGTTGAGAGACAAACGGGAATCTGTTGGAAAGGTTTGTGTGGCCTGGAATGAAAAGAATGGCACAAAGGTTTGTGGCTGAGTGTGAAGTTTGTCAGCGCATTAAACCG